GACTGGCTTCCTTAGCATAGTGTTTTCAGGGTCCACCCATGATGCACCAGGTGCCTGAATTACCTTCCTTTTGAAGGCTGGATAATATTCCACTGTGGAAGGAAATGATAATTTTCTTAAGGAATGAGGAGCAAATGCTTTTCCTGCCTCCCTTCTCTGAGGTGCTTTCTCTGAAACAAAATGTAGCTGTGAATACGTTCACATAGCCAGATAGTTCTGTAATACAAGAAATGGAATCCTGGAGCATGTCATGGTATCATTATCCCTAGAAATGTCTTAGGCTGCAGCCTGGTCCACACTGGAGCATTAATGTCCACGGAGCCCATTATAATGCCATTTGCCTATAAAGTTATCATGTAGTGGGTGCACTTAAGTGCCTAATAAATCTACTGATGCTATATGCTGGGTTTCCTTATATCACGGGATATAGCCAGCATTCACAGGGGAATTCATATAAAGCTTTAACGGGCATCCATTTTATAGATGAATTTTAGGAGCTATAAAGATATCATTCAAACTCTACGTTGACATCTCCCTATAAAAGATTTCGGTATCAAAGAAGTCATTTTCTATAAACATTTGTATAAAATAATAAATTTTAAGGAAATTTTAAAGGGTTGAGGCCAGTTTTGTCATTTATTAGATGCCTACATCTCAGGCATCTATTGCAAACCCGTCCATCTAAGGAGTTAACCATTGTTTCCTGCGCTTGTCTCTGACAGAGCCTATGTCCTGTTTAAAATGCCCAGGGAGGCTACAGTTTCTAAAGGTCAGCACGATCTCGTATCATGACCAAGATGTGCTCAGTACATTCACAAAAACCTCTCTGACTTTGTAAAGCACGGATGTTAACTCTCCCTCTCCTTATAAAGTGCTTAGTTTAACACCATGTGCATAAAGACATCCATTGTATATTGATTTTTTTAAGCTTGTTTAGATTTCCAGTGTTGAATTGTTACATCTCACTTCCCAGACTCTGTAAATCTAGATGAAGTTATCAAATTCTCTTAGTTCCAGGAATTCTCTGGTAAATGTGAGTGCTTGCCAGCTGGCCAGATAATTGGTGGTTCAGTTTTGTCAGAAATAGGAAGTATCAAGGGTTGTAAGAAAGAAAGATTGTGAAACTGGAATGTGGTCTTCCCTTAAAAAAACATCTTATGGTGTGGGAATTTCCAGAAGTCTTTATCCCCAGCCCATTTTTGTAATGTTCTTGTTCCTGTGTAGGTATCTTACCAGAGTAAGGAGCACCCAGGAAGTCAGGAAGCTGACTTAAGTGGCTGATGTCAGAACCCAAGACTGGGGACTGGGTGGAGCCCCTCACTGTCCCTACCTCATTCCCACTGGGCGATGCTTCAATGCACGTGGTGTGTGAGGACAGGGCAGAGTGCTGGACCAAAGTGCTGGGAAATTCGGTTGGTGACCCTTAATCCCTCAGAAGCCTGGAGAGGGGTGGGGAGCTTGGCAGTGCAGAAAGGGGTTCTAGGCAATCACATGTCCCCTTCCAGTGACCCTTGGACCAGACATTCAGGGTCTAGTTCCTGCAGAGCTTGAGACCAGCCGTGGAGGTTATGTACAGCTCAGGGAGCTGCGTGCATTTCCTGGGGTCAGCAGGGAGAGCGTGGCAGTTTAAAGTAGCATCCAGCATCTTTGTTGGCTCCTTTGGTTATGCTGAGACAGACCCATGGACATGTCCTGGGCAGGCTTTGGCTCTTGGTGTCGCTGGGTCTCCTGGGTCAGTAATTGGTTCCTACAAGGCTCTTCTCTTCCCAGGGAAGAGAGGAAGGTGTGGAACTAGTAGCTGTAGATGGCAATGTCTTAGAAGCATTCGTTCAGAGTTTGATCTGTGTGGCGGAATTTGTTGATCCATTTTACTGGGAGGTCATTAGGAATCTCCTGGGCAGAGAGGAGAAAGTGAGGCTTCTGATTCTAAGCTCTGTAGGATAGAAACTGAGTTCTTATATATATTTCCTTTCCCTTTAGGTTCAGTATATAGAAAATACACAGTCATGGTGTCTTACACCTGTAATCCCAACACTTTGAGAGGCCTAACCTGGAAGATTGCTTGAGGCCAGGAGTTTTGAGACCAGCCCGAGCAAGAGCCAGATCCCATCTCTACTAAAAATAGAAAAAGTAGCCTGGCTTTGTAGCAGGCACGTGCAGTCCCAGCTACTCAGGAGGCAGAGGCAGGAAATTCACTTGTGCCCTGGAGTTTAAGGCTACAGTGAGCTGTGATTGGGCCACTGTGGTCCAGTCTTGGCAACAGAGCAAGACCCTATCTCTTCCTCCCCCAGATAGGAAATATATGAGCGCATGAGTGGTATTGATGTCAGCAGACACTGGCTGAGTGCCAGGTGCTTTGTTAGGCGATTAGAGGTGAATCAGTGGCCCACAATTGTGGACACAGACTCATACCTAGTAAAGTGTACGTAGCACAGTGGAATGGGTAGCTTTGTTAACATGTTCGTTCATTCATTTCAACTAAATTGATCGGTCTTCTACATGGACACAGAGATGAATAGAACGTGGCCTTTACTTCCACACGGGCATTGTCTAGATGAGAGTCTGCACAACGTGCCCAGGAACTTGGAGAAGAAAGCCCTCAGCACTTCATGGCTGTGGGGGATGGGAGAGGCAGCAGGGTAAGGTTTGGACTGTCCAAAAAGGGCCTGGAGCCTCTAGGTGAAAACTGTGTCCACACACAACCTGCTCACAAATACTGATAGTAGCTTCATTTGTCACTGCCAAAACTTGGAAGCAACCAAGGTCTCCTTCAGTAGGTGAATGGACAGACAAAGCCCAGTACATGGGACAGTGGAACTTTATTCAGCAATAAAGAGAAATGAGGTTTCAAGACATGACAAAACGTGGAGTAACCGTGAATGCACACTACTAAGTGAAAAAAGAAAAATCTAAAAAGGCTACCTGTACTGTGTGATGCCAGCCCTGGGGCCTACTAGAAAAGGCAAACTGTGGAGACAGAATGTCAGTGGTCACACAGGATTAGGAGGAGGGATGAGTTGGTGAATCTACTTCCCTACAGTGAAACTATTCTGCATGATACTGTAATGGTAGAGACGCGTCACTATCTGTCTGTAACACCATAGAACATTGTGGCCCACAGACTGAATGCGCTAATGTCACCTGGGGGTTTGACTGAGGATAGTGTATAATATCAGTGCTGGCTCGACACCTGTAACAAATGCACCACATAACTAATGAGCTTATTAGGGGACACTGTGTGGTACAGAGGCGTATATGGAAACTCTTACATTTTCTTTGCTTAGTTTTTTGTAAACCTAAAATTACTCTAAAAAATTAAGTCTATTGATCGTAAAAGGAAGGAGCATAGGGCCCAGGGTTGGGGCGGGGAGCAAGTGTCAGAGAATCCTATCTAAGTTTGGAGCCAGCAGGTGCAGAGGCCTGGGAGGGGCCGGTGTTTGGGGTGTAGCAGAAGCAGGTCATGCCACGCTGTGAAGGCTCTCCACTGAGGAGCCCGGGTCTTTCCATCCTCCTGTCTCAGAGAGGGTAACCGCTACTGTTTCTGTTCACAGCAAAGAGCTCCGGGGAAGGTGCTGCTGGATGCAGTCTGCAACCACCTCAACCTCGTGGAAGGCGACTATTTTGGCCTTGAGTTTCCTGACCACAAAAAGATCACGGTAGGTGATGTCAGATGAACGTTGCTGTTTTATAATCTGTTCATCTTGGGGGGGGGCGGGAAGCAGGAGGAAAGAATTGGTACCCTTCCTTGGCCATACAGAAAGGGAAGAAAAAATACTGAGAAAACCCTCATGAACTTTTTTTTTTAATGGTAAAAGTAATTCATATATGTGATTAGCAAGTTCAAAGAGGGCACACAGTGAAGACTATTCCCCGAGTTCCCAGGAACCACCTTTACACATGTCCTTGAGTGTACGAGGTCTGACAGTTAAGTTCACAATCTTGCTGCTGTGTACAGAACTGACGAAAATATTGCAAAAATTCATTGACTTGTCCATCAGAATCATTGGCTGACTGTGAGAAGCATAGCAGACCAAGGAAACATGGATAGAGAAACAGTTAAGAAAATTTTACCTGAACATCTGGGCTTGAGAAAGGTGCATACAGAAATAGGCTCTTGCATCACAACAATCCACCGGCTCACACAGCACTATCTGTGAAGGAGTATTTTAGCCAGTAAACAAATAACAGTATTGAACCACCCTCCCTACTCACCTGATCTAGACCCAGTGACTTTTTTCTTTACTCAAAGGTAAAGAAATATCAAAAGGAAAACATTCAGGACATCGGGGTGATATGATCACAGCTCTGATGGCCATTCCAGGAAAAGAGTTCTAAAACTGCTCTGCAGGGTGGACTAGGGGCTGGCGTCAGTGCACAGCTTCCCAAGGGAAGTGCTTCGAAGGTGACCCTCGTGATACTCAGCAGTGACGTGTGGAGCTCGTCACTGGAGGAGGAGTTCACAAACTTAATTGTCTGACCTCATCCTTCTGGAAAAGTCAGTGTAAACATATAATAGGCACACAACCTGGGAATACACACATGTGAGGAGACAATTGTACTTTCCCTCCCCTGCCGAGCAATCTTTTCCCGCACACGGAGCCCTCCTTCTCCTTTTCTTTCCTTTTTTTTTTTTCCCTGCAGTTTTTGGCTGGGGCCAGGTTTGAACCTGCCACCTCCCATATATGGGGCTGGCGTCCTAGTCCTTTGAGCCACGGGCGTCACCGCCCTCACCTTTTCCTTTTCCACAGCTGTGTGCTACTCCCCCTGAGGGCTGTGGATATAATTTACAGCTGCTGTTGTTGATGGTGGAACACTTCGCTTCTCTTCAGTTTTGCACTAATACAGATGTTGCTACAGTGAACTTACTAGTACTTTTGTGTTTGTGCTAAGGGCCAAGTGTTTCAGTAGTAGGTCAAATTCAAAGGCATGGAATTGCCCAGACAATGGATTTGGGTTCAACCACTTTAAAGTTGCTAAATATGTCATTGTTTGTTAAAAAGATTTTGCTGGCTTGAATCCAAAATTTAAAGAATAGCTTCCTGGTATTTTTGTCTTGTTTGGTTGATGGCCCTTTAAGGCTCTTCCCAAATCTACCCTTTAGTTGTCACCTAGGAAGTTCATGGGCTGTATTTGTATTCTTTGATTCTGTGCATACCGAGTGCCTAGAATGTCTCCTAGTCCCTGCCCTATAAATCTGATAATAAATAGAGGCCAAAATGGGACATGTGACAGGTGCCAGGAGGTCTTGGGCATTGAAGGCAGCAGATGACATTTGTGTTTGGGAAATCTTTCCTGGATATTACAAACCTGAGTCGCAGGAGACCAGTAGGAGCTGACCTAATAGAGTGTCCTGAGAGAGGCGCGTCCCACAGCCAGAAAGCAGAAAGCAAGTGGGCTGTTGAGGAACCTGCAGAGAGGGCCAGAGCTGAGGGGACAGGTGAGGGCAGAGGGGGGAAGAGTAGCCGGCCAGCAGGAGGCCAGATGGGGAAGGGCTTTCTGCATCATTGCTCCAGTGGAAACATATGAGGCACAAACTCGATTTTAACTTTCCTAGCACTGATGTTAGGAAAGGTTGAAAAGGACAATTGTGGTATCTCAGAGACAGCTAGAGCCTGATCGGAATAGGACGAGACTGGTCAGGAACCCCTTTAGGTGGTTGGAGCGATTCAAGTAAGACGTGATGCTGGCAAGAACTACGGGGGTGCTGGAGGGCTGAAGGGAGGTGGATGGAGTTGAGAGCTGTTGAAAGCAGTAGGGATGGGGTGTGATTAAAGGGGTGGGCTTGTGCAGGAGAGCCGCTCAGAGTGGCTCATTTTTCCAGCTCTGCCATCTTGGTGGACAATAGTGCCCGTCCCTGGGGAGAAGATGATGATTCCCACTGCAGATGGGAGGGGCCAGGGCGTCAATAGATGTTCCAGATCTGGAACATCAGTGTCAGGAGGTGTTTTTCCTGGTGCTCAGGAAAGAGATGTGCACAGACATTTGGATTCAAGAAATCCTGTGATTGTTTTAAATGCCAGTTGAAGCTCTGAAATGGGAGGAGAATTCATGGTGTAAAGAGAAGGGGCCAAAGGTGGAATACATGGAAGGGAAGAGCCTTTCAAGGAGGTATAGGTGGGGGGAGGGAAATGAGAGCATTTCAAGGAAGGAGCGGGCAGGAGGGAAGTCGATGGACACTTGTCCAGAGCAGGTGGTACATGAGCAGATCTGCGAGACCCCTAGAAAGGACGGCAAATTGTGTTTCCTTGACTTAATCTCACTTCCAGACACTCCGTCAGTTTCTAGTTCATACTTTAAATCTGAGCTTCCCTGTCAGTCCTTTTTCTGATGTGGCGTATGACCAGAGACCTGCTGAATCTAATTCCATATCCACTTACTTGTCTAACAATTACTCTGTGCCTACACTGTGGCATCACACTTCATATTAAACACAAGATAAAGTGACCGATAGCAGGAATAGTTACGGTTTCCAACAGCTTGGTAAGAGAGTCCAGGAAGCAATTACAGCGTGGCAGGTTCTGTGAAACATTCTTTCATAGGCTTGTTTTATGTCAAAAGAATGATTCTCAAAACACCTAAAGATTCATGGTCTCATTATTTCTAATAGCCTTGATAAGTGCCTGCCTGAAGCTCCTAACAACCTTCATGACTCTGGTCTTGTCCCATCTACCCTTCTCAACCAGAACTCAGCAGTGGTGTTTTTGCACTTCACAGTTGAGGTTGTTAAGATTCTAAAAATTGCTTTGGGTCTGGATCTGCCAATTAGCAATTGTCAGAGCTAGGATTCTAACTGTTCTTCTCCCAGTTCACAGCCTTTTCTGCTAACCATGGGCGCTTCTCATTTCCTGGGATTTATAAACCTGGGTATCTGCTGGGGTGGCTTTTTTCAGTTATCAGACTCAGTTTTTAAGGTTTCAGTCCTTCCTGACAATATTTTTTAAGAATATATTTAACTGCAAAATGAAGAAAACTCCACTAATGATGACTTAAAAGATGTAGATATATATTTGTCTCACATGAGAAAAAGCCACTGCAGGGCCAGGTGGGATGATTCACACCTGCAGTCCTAGCAGTGTGGGAGGCTGAGGCAGGAAGATTGCTTCAGGCCAGGAGTTCGAGACCACATGAACAAGAGTGAGACCCCTGTCCCTTCAAAAAATTAGCATGCTGGCCCACACCTGTAGTCTCAGCTACTCAGGAGGCTGAGGCAGGAGGATCACGTGAACCAGGAGTTTGAGGTTGCAGTGAGCTAGGCTGACACCACTGCATTCCAGCCCAGATGACAGAATGAGACTGTCTTCCAAAAAACAAAGCCCCTTCATGAGTACTTACTATGTGCTGATGAGTTCTAACCTCATGGATACAACATGAGTAAACATGATCCACATTCTAGAGCAGGATTGGATGGCACACTTTCTTTGTAAAGGAGGGACAGATAGTAAAAAGTGTAGACTTCTCAGGGAGTGCAGTCTCTGCTGCACCTTTTCAAAGCGGCTTTTGAAGTAGCCAATGACAATACGTAAATGAATGGAGTGAATGTCTTCATTCCAATAAAACTTTATTAGTAAAGCCAGAAGCCATGGTTTTCTGACACTTGCTCCAGAGATTGGTTGTATTAATTCTGCACCAGGCACCATGCTAGGTTTATATATAATATTTCATTTATTCCTGCAAAGATGTGTTATATCCCCTTTATCTGATAAGGGAGATGAGCCTTAAAGAGGTTAAGTCATCCATCCTCTCAAAGGCACACGGTGAGGAAATGGTAGAGCTGGGCTTAAAGTTCAAATCTGTCTAGATACAAGCCCCTGTCCTCAGCTACATCCAATTCTGACCATGTCTTTGTATGTTGCTCTCTGTTGATTACAAAACCCCAACTTCAGAGCTAACTGCATATAATTTTAAGCAAGTTCCTTTGACAAAATTGATTGCAGTGTTGGAGGGAACAGTGTAAGTGGCTAGAGGGGTATGAGGAGAGCTGCAGGGTCCTGGCTGTGTTCTGTATCTTGTTCTGGGTGCTGCATCAGTGGTATGATCAGTCTGTAACATTCAGCCAGCTCTCTGCTTGTAACCTGAGACAGATCTATAACTTCAATGAAAGTTTACCCCCAAATGCAATGAAATAGATGCACACAGTAGTGGAAATGATGACCAAAAATCACTCAGAGTGCGGCAGGTAGAGTGTTGTTTCAGAAGTGCCAGGGACCAGTCTTGATTGGATGAACTAAGAAAGAGCGGCTCTAAGAAAGAGAATAGTTAGTAGTGGCCGGGTTTCCCTCTCCACCCCTGGACAGAGTTGCTTGGCAGTATAAGATGTGAATCTCCTTGGTGTATCTGCCACAGCCCCCACCAGGCAGTCCACTGTGGAGAAGTTGAGCCTGTTCTACAGTCAGGTGCTGGCGCTCAGATCTCTGCAGTCCTCCCAGCAGAGAGGGCGGCTGGGGGGCCCTTGCTCTGCCTCACTTTGCTCTTAGGTAAAATGGGGACAGTAGGGCCCCCCTGTGCAAGTCCCCCAAGGGGACTGGGAGGATCAGATATGATCTCTGAGCATGCGGCCCAGCGTTCTGGGACACGTTACAGTGTTCAGGACACATGAGCTACAGGAACTTCTGCTGTCATCATCTCCATTGTCATCATTATTAAATTTTTTAATGTG